ATATAACATCCCATCAAAATCTAAAACATTTAGGAGTTCACCAAACCAAATATGAAAAACATTCGTCATAATATTGGGGATTGGAAGGTTGGATCGGTCCCAAATGTTCTTTGCAAATTCACATAACACCAAGGCATGCATAGTGTCCTCTTGAGATATTCCACACATGGCACAATATGGGTTCACTTCAACCCTCTTTATAAGCAAGTTAGAGGTCGTAGGCAGTATATCACAAATGGCTCTCCATAGGAACATTCTCCATTTTGGGGGGATTTTGAGTTTCCACAAGGTTAACCATTTTGTAAAGGTCCCATTCTCATTCCCATAATTACCAACTATTAATCTGTAACCGTCTTTCACAGAATAAACTCCTCTTGGGTCCCCAGGCCAATACCAAGTATCATCATAATCCGGAGAGACTAGTATTTTTAGAATATTTGCCACATCACCAGGCTGAAAAAGATCAGTTAAAATTGAAAGATCCCATGTCTGTGTTTGCTGATCAATCAATCCCACCACTTTGGCATCCTGTAACTGTACTGGCATCTCCGTTTGTACCATAGGGTCTTGGTCGTCCTGTAACCAGGGGTGGGTCCATATTAGTGTAGATTCCCCATTTCCAATCCTACGCCTTACCCCACTACAAACTATACTCTTTGCTGCCATAATACTCCGCCAGCAGAAACTAGGATTATTTCCCACTTGTGCATCAAAAAAAGAGCCCTTGGCATAATATCGTGCTTTATATATACGCGCCACCAGGGACTCAGGCTTAGTAAGCATTCGCCATGCCTGTTTTCCTAGCATAGCCAGATTAAAAACACGCAAATCCTTGAATCCCAAACCCCCAAATTTCTTAGGAACACACAGTTTGTCTCAAGCCTTCCAATGTATTCGTCTATCAGTTCCCGAGTCCCACCAGTACCGATTCATTGTCCTCTCAATCGCTGTACACACAGAAGTTGGCAGCAGGAAGACACTCATTGAAAAGGTAGGCATGGATTGTGCTACACTTCTCAATAAAATTTCCTTACCTGTCTGCGATAATAACCTCTTATTCCATGACCCAATTCTTTGCCGAATTTTATCCTCTATATACGCAAAAGCTGCCTTTTTGTTTTTCCCTACAAATGAGGGGAGTCCCAAATACTTGCCAAAATTAGGAGTTTGGTCAACTCCCAGAACCTGTGCCACAACTTCCTTGTTAGCGTTACTCGTATTCCTACTATAACATATACTTGACTTGTGGTAATTAACCGCTTGCCCGGATAAATCCTCATAGACCGATAGACACCTCTTAATCTCAGTAGCCTCTTCAACATTAGCTTTAAAAAACAGAAGGCTATCATCAGCGAAAAACAAATGAGAGATTGGGGGAGCACTTCTTGCCACTCTGCATCCATGGATCAAACCCCTATTGTGAGCCTGCTGTAATAACAGAGAAAGGCCCTCTGCACAAATAATAAAAAGATATGGAGATAATGGGTCCCCCTGCCTTAAACCACGTGTGGGTATAATAGGGCCACTCCTAGCGCCATTGGTCAATAAATTATACGAGACTGTAGATACACATTTCATGATTAACTGCACCCATCCAACATCAAACCCCAAAGCCAACATCATTTTTTCCAGGAAAGGCCACTCCATCCGGTCATAAGCTTTTGCTATATCAAGCTTCAAAGTACTCCACACCACCATGCCACACTGTTTCCTGTTCAAAAAATGATCCACTTCCGCTGCTACCAGAATATTATCAGTTATAAGCCTATCTGGAATAAAGGCACTCTGCGATTCCGATATTATTCCTTCCATTAGCAGCTTCATTCTATTCGTTATCATCTTTGCCATAATCCTATAGATCACATTACTGAGGGCTATAGGACGCAAGTCAGTTACTCGCTCAGGGGTCTTTTTCTTTGGGATCAAAATAATATCTATACTGTTTAAGCTTATTGGTAGGTTGCGTGAGTCAAGACAACCTATGACAAAACTCGCAACATCCCTCCCCTCCCCCCCCCCCCCCTACCACATCCCAAAAATGCTGATAGAATCCCGGGTTCATTCCATCCGGGCTCGGTGCCTTATCAGGAAACATTGCAAACAGGGCCGATTTAACCTCATCGAATTCAAAAGGCTGTAATAACATCTCATTCTGTGCCTGAGTGACCCGCGGGACAATTCCCTCGAAAAAACTCTCCCCAGATCCCGGACTTTCAGAGCAGAAAATACGATTGAAATATTCCAGAATAACATTATTCATAGGCTCCCCTTCCACCCAATCCCCATTATCATTCATTAGTCTAACAATAGTATTATTCTTTTTACGATGAGAGGCGTACCTGTGAAAGAACTTGGTATTGGCATCGGCCTCCCTGAGCCAGTGTTGCTTGGCTCTCTGCCTCCAGTAGGCATCCTCCTGGGCTTCAGTACGGCATAAAAGTTGTTCCAGGGATTGAAACTCAGCAAGCGATGCCGGGTCAGTGCATCCCCTTAGGCGTTGCTGCTTCTTCTTAAGATCAATAATCTGTTTACCATACTTATGGTGCCGATCCCCACCCCATCGTGTTAATCGCCTACCACAGTATTCAATACAGTGCTGCAGACCCTAACCCCTTCCTTCCTGCCACGACTGCTCTACTACCCCTCGACACCCCTCCTCATATAACCATGCAGTCTCAAAACGGAATCCCCTCATTCTCGTCCCATTCGTCCCTAAGGATTCATGGATACCTAGAAAGATAGCCGAATGATCAGACTTTCGGGTTCTAAAGTTCACCACCCTGGCCATTGTCATCATATTACGCCACTCATCTGTTGCCAAGACCTTATCAAGTCTCTCCTCAATCCAATCCACTATTCCCTTCTCCTTCTCCCATGTGTACGGGTAGCCCACCATAGGCATCTGAGTCAAACCACAGTCCCCAATAGTATCCCCAAATCCGCGAAGGAAGCTATTCGGATGTGGATTTCCCCATCTTTTCTCATACTAGAATAATAAATCATTGAAGTCCCCCACTACGATCCATGGAAGGCCGGATCTAGCTGATAATGCCCTCAGAAGGTCCCATGACTTAATACGCCTGGTTCGTTCCGGGAAACCATAATAACACGTCATACGCCACATCGGGAAACCAACTATAGTTACCTCAATATCAACATAGTTCTTTGCGTAATTGAGGAGTCTTGCCGTATTATTCTTCCTCCAGAACAACGCTAAACCACCACTTAATCCTCTGAAACCACTGCTATCAACATAAAACAATCCCTCAAAGCCAATCTTGATCCAAAGACGCTTAGCATGATCGCGTCCTACCTTAGTTTCCATCAGAAATACAAAGTCGAGTTGCTTACGGGACACCATGTCCACCACCTCCTGAACTGTCCGTGGATTACCCAAGCCACGGCAGTTCCAAGCTAACGTACTCATAATGATGGGCGGGACTGCCTAGCAGCTCTCGCCATAAACATGTTTTTTGACACATCTGCCATAGTAGTATCCTCCCCCTCACCCCGCCTACCACCCTCATACCCCCCTCCCTCCTCCTCTTAGCCACCGCCTCCACCACCGATTCGGCCACCTCCCCACCAACCGAGACCACCAAAACTCCCTCCTCACCCATCCCACCACCGGATCGGTTCCCCGTTGCCGCAACCACCCCCTCCATGACTCTCGGCCTGCCACCCACCGGAACCAACCAACTTTCCCTCACCTCCCTCGGACCCCGACCACCCCCCACCCTCATCTCCGCACCATACGGGTATTGTTCAATCGGAACCGTAGAAACCCGAGCCTTCACAAAGAATTTATACGAGTGCCCCAACAAACCACAAAAGAAGCAAAAAGTATGAAACGCTCATACCTGAAGTTGACCCAGCACGTGGTCTTGTCACGCTTCAACAATTTCATACGCCTTCGCAACGGTTTGTTCACTGGGATCGACACCCTTATACGGTAAAACGATAGCCAAGGCGCCCCCACAAACCTCTCATCATGCTTAACAAAGATACAAATAAAGTTACCAATCTGCTCAAGAATTGGTTGTGTCGTATAGCCCATGGGTAAATCGTGAAGTTGCACCCACATGTCAACAAAATCCAGGGCCACATCAATCGGCAAAACTCCATCTCCAACAAAACGACATACCAGGGTACTGTTCTCAAACGCCCATGGCCCTCCATTTAGAACATATTGAACATCCGTTTCATGGAAGAAAACGAATAGAAAGAGCCCCTTCTGGATCTCCGTCACCGTCACCCCCATCACCAGTTGCCAAACCGAAGCCAAAACTTGCCTCATATACTCCAGTTTCACCATCTTAGCCGTTAAAAACCTGCCCACCAAGGTCCAAGTTCACACTGGGGGTTCAGCACCTTCCTCCACCTCCTTCTCAACCGGTGCAAAATTTTCCTCTTCCTCCTTGATGGCTATGTCCGCCCAGCGCTTCGTCAAAGCAGCAACACGGTCATCTGCAGCATCGTCGTTCGCCATGGCGCCCTCCAACGTTAAGCCGAGCTACACAGTAGTATGCGTCGTCCGTGGCACCACTCCTCCAACCGAAAACCGGGAAAAACTGCCGGAAAAAGCTTGAAAAACTAGCAAAACCCTAGGAGAGGAGGCAAAACCCTAGAAAATCCTAGAGAGAAAATATTGAATAAGAATATCTTATTTGAAAATTATATATATATATATATATATATATATATATATATATATATATATATATATATATATATATATATATATATATATATATATATATATATATTACTGAGGACATTATTGTAAATTGATCCATACAACCTAAAATATAACCCTAAACCAAACAAGGTAATATTATATTACACTATCCAAACCAAACACATAAGGTAATTTTACATTCTCAAAATCTCACATTACATTCCAGGAGGTAATCCTATTACCTGGGGTAATCCAAGATTCCGTGAACCAAACGCCCCCCTTACGGGGCGTTTGGTTCAAGGTATCTCAGATTACCTGAGAAATGTAATCTTAGATTACCATGTTTGGTTTAGGTAATCTGAGAGGGTAAGTAATGCAAGATTACTGCCACGTAGGAAATGAGAGTATATTTGAGGTAATTTGATTACCAAGTTTTGGTTAGGTAATGTCAGATTACTTTTCAATATTCCAAAATTGCCCTCATTTATTTCTCTTTTATTCATTACAGAGACCTTGCATTCAGTATTCCACGCGAAACGTACTCCATCTCTATTTCCGTCTACATCTCTTGGTGGTAGAGATCCAGGATTATGTAGGTGCACACAAACATGTGGCAACATATTTCCAGAATGAAGCTGAGAACAACAGTAGGAAGATGAAGATCTTTGAAGAGATAATGCAACTACCAGGATTTTCTACAGAAGAGGTCATAAATGTTGGTGAACATATTTTGAAAGATGCACACAAGCTTGATACGTTCTTTGCTTTGCCAAAGGACCTTACGAGCCACTATGTGGTGAAACGACTATCTGAGATCAATGCATATCATCCAACCTATGATTTTCGTGGTGGAGATGGTGTGTAGACTGCTTGTTGCCCTTGTATACTTTTTTTTTTTTTTTTTTTTTTTTTTGTGAATTAATATGGATACGGGGCTGTTATTTTGTGTGCAGATAATGCATATGTTAATGTAAATTTTGTTAGATGGTTTGTGAATTGGATGGTCTGTAATCTGTACGGATATGAGGTTGTATATGTGGCTGTTATTTTGTTGTTGTTGGATGGTTGTGAAATGAAGTAGATTACAATTGTAATATTTTGTTACTCATCACAAATTATGTAACATGACAATCAATTAGCAGGAATTGCATATCTATAGATTTTAATTAAAATTTTGTTGGTGTTGGTTGGTCTGTGAAGCATCTTTACAGGGTATGCATTCCATCATCATTATTATTATTCTTATTATTATTATAGTAGTGGTAGTAGTGGTAGTAGTGGTAGTAGTGGGCAGTAGCAGTAGTAGTGGTAGTAGTGGTAGTAGTGGTAGTAGTGGCAGCAGTAGTAGCAGCATCAGTAGTAGTAGCAGTAGCAGTAGCAGCGGTAGCAGTGGCAGCAGTAGTAGCAGCAGCAGCAGTAGTAGCAGTAGTAGTAGTAGTAGTAGTAGTAGCAGTAGTAGTAGTAGTAGTAGTAGTAGTAGTAGCAGTAGTAGTAGTAGTAGTAGTAGTAGTAGTAGTAGTAGTAGTAGTAACAGTAGTAGTAGCAGTAGTAGTAGTAGTAGTAGTAGTAGTAGTAGTAGTAGCAGTAGTAGTAGTAGTAGCAGTAGTAGCAGTAGCAGTAATAGTAGTAGTAGCAGTAGTAGTAGCAGCAGTAGTAGTAGTAGCAGTAGTAGCCATAGTAGCAGCAGTAGCAGTAGTAGCCATAGTAGCAGCAGTAGCAGTAGTAGCAGTTATATTTAAATGCCCTCATAAATTTTGAATTATGAAAAAAAAAAAAAAAAACTTGCAATTTACACCTTTCCATTTTTATGAGGGCATTTAAATAATTGATGTAATATGACCTAAAATATAACATTCAACCAAACAAGTTAATGTTACATTCCTACAACTTTAACCAAACACATCAGGTAATTTTACATTTCCAAAATCTCACATTACTTACCTCCATGGAATTCTATTACCTGGGGTAATCAAAGATTCCGTGAACCAAACGCCCCCTAATATATTGTTCTTTAGCGGTTCATAAACCTTTCACTTAAACTCTGTTTTTTTTTTTTTTTTTTTTTTTTTCATTTTAAGTTTTAACATTTACTTTTTAAAATATAATAAAAATTTCTAGTTTTTAAAATTTTCAACAAAAATATTAAATTTCATGTCTAAAATTTTAAATTTTGATGAATTTTTGTATAATATATATTATTTTAAAAAATAAAGGACTTGAACTTTTTTTGAGTACTAACTCTCTACTGAAATACAAAAAGTCAAATGCTCACACTGAGACTCAAACCCATGACCTCTTATATGGAAGAGTAACTTTGTGTCACTAGACCACAAGGTCATTGAATTGACATTAAGGATCGGACTTGAACTTAGTTTTACCAATACTAAATTGTATACATAATTACATATCTTCTTACAATTTAAAAAAGAATCAAAGTCATAATTTTTGCCTTTACAAATTAGTCTAATTGGAACCTTGCTCTGGACAATTAAATGCGTTAGTCGTCGATAGATAAGTCTAGCATATGGTTATGTAGTTCGGACAGCTCAGTTGGTTATAGGGGTGAAGTTTGAAAAAAGTAATTCGAGATTGAGTCTCATTAATAACAATATGGAGTAACCTTTCAAAGTGAGGGGAACTCCTTGTGCGAATTGAGTAAACAAAGATTTAATTTATGTATTCAGATGTGTTTAGATGCTCTGTTAGATCGGGACGGAAGACACCCTTAAAGTTAGGAATTTAACTTTTTGGGAACAAGGATATGCGTAGGCATATCAAATTAATGCACTCAAGCACATTTCACTAACGCGAGACTCTAGACCAAGCTGCAAACCAATTTTAAAAATGAGTGTAAAATACTCCCGTTTTGCACGTCACTTGTGCTAAATTATTAATCAAAAATATTATAGAAGTCTATTCAACTCTCTCCTCGGGGCCAACAATTGGATCGATAATGCTAGGATAGGCAGGATGTCCTACTTGATATCACTAACACAAGAAATTAAACTAAAAAAAATTAAATTCAAGGTTTAAAGTAAGGGAAAATTGCATCTTTAGTCTCTGAGTTATTATTAAGTTCTGATTCAGTTCCCAAATTATGGTCGTATCTGAGTTTAGTCTCTCAGTTATGAGCGAAGTGGCGAGTTTGGTCCTCAGCATTAATACTCCGTCTGCGGCTAACGAAAAACTTAAAAATAATTTAATAATAGAGGGTTAAAATATGAATTTCAAATTATAATTCATTCTTATGTTGAAACCCATTGTGCAACAGTCATTCATTTCTTCTTAAACTTACAATCGAAGGTCTTTTTCTTCCCCAAGCTTGAAATCTCAAATTCGTCCACTTCCAAGCTGCAAAATTCACAAAGTTGATTCTCTATTTTATATGTTTAAATAAATAATCAATATTCTCCGTATTGATGAACTAATTTAGCCATTAATTATAGGATGTCATCTCTTAGTTGTGGTACTTCATCTTTCCCCCCAATTTGGGCATAATTTTTGATGTAGATATGATGATTTATTACCTATCAAAATTTCATGGATTTATGCTAATCGAGGGAAAAGATAACAAGATTGTCCATGTTATGGAGCAAATTTTTGTATTTGTCAAAAATTGTAATTTAAGTTGTTTCTTTTTTATTATACTAAATAGAATTGAAATATTGAAATTTGATTTTTTTAGAAAAACGGGAGTAGAATTTCTTCACTGATTACATAAGCAACTTAGGACTTTTGTCGATTTGGGAGAAAGTATGCTGGCTAATTTACAAGTTTTATTAAGGAATTTACTTCTTTATCCATGCATGGAATTAACTTTGTCAACACACCACTAACGTCAGGGATCAAACTCGTCACTTTGCTCATAACTGAGGAACTAAACTCGGATACAACTATAACTTAGGAACTGAGTCGAAACTTGGTTATAACTCAGAGACTAAAGATGCAATTTTTCCTTAAATTAAATAAAATTGAACATGAAAAAATAAAATAAAATAAAATAAATGAAAATAAGGGTGAATTTCAGTTTTAGTTCTACAATTATTATAACATTGCTATATTTTGTCACACACTTTTAATTTGACAATATTTAGTCCACAACTTTATTGATATTTTCCCATTTGGTTATATCTACTATCTACTATACTAATAAGAGCCCAAGAGAGTTAGGCCTATAATGATTAGAAAAAATGGCGGTCTAAGTTTTTAATCAAATCAATGTCTCAGATTGATCAGATTTTAATTTTTCCTTAAGATTTCCTAATTTATCCTTAATGAATATGATTTTCCGTTAACTTTTCCGTTAAATATTATTTTTTTCGTTAATTTCTGTTAGTTCACTGTTAACTTACTTATTGATTTCAGTAAAAAAGGTCTTAGGTTCGAACCACATCCCAATCAAAGTTGGCATAATTAATACTCTATTTCACTCTTATTAAATTATTAAATAATAATTTAGTAGGTACAACAAAAAATAATACATATGTATTTCTTTAATTTAGAATTATGTGTATACAATGCCTTTATTCAAAAAAAAAAAAATACTCATTATCAATAAATTAAATAAGAAAAATAATTTCATTAGTTATATTGTCTTTATTTTTTTCCAATATAAAATTTTTTTACATTCAAAATTCAAATTCATCAATTGATTATATTTGCTACATTGTCCCTACAATGTCTTTATTAAAAAAAAATTATTCATTATCAATAAATTAATTAAGAGAAATAATTTCATTAGTTATATTGTCTTTATTTTTCTCCTGTAATTTTGCATTTCCTCGTTTTTACGAAAATTATCAGAAATAGTTTGCTGACTTAGAAAACTGATAGATTCAGTTAAGCACCTACTTAGTAATGATAGATCATGGTGCGAACATCAGAGAAAAATAAACAAACATACAGAGCGAACACTCACAATGTTTACCCAGTTCGATACAGTGTGTATCTACATCTGGGGGACGATCACATAGGCGTCCAATCCACTAAGTCATAATCCAATGTACAAAGGTAGATATACAATAATCTTACCCAAGTGCCCCACACAAGGTACATACCCAGTCTACACAGGTTTAGTGGATTGTTGAAGATGGAGAGCCATGCATACAGAAGTCCAATGAAGTCCCTTCACTTGGAGAGCCAGCTCTGATGCAGTCCACTTCAGTGACGCTCTATAATGTTGTTCCCACAACAGTGTGATCTTAGTGTCCTTTCGTTTAAGTAGCAGTAACTCTTCTCAAGTTCATCATCTTAATCACCATGAACAAATTGTAATGAGAAGGTCCATAACAATCAAAGATCTAGACTCTTAAAGTTGATATGGAGTGTTTCTTTTTCTTATTTGGCGTAACCCCAGTTACCTTTTGGAACTGGTACTTATAGATCCTTCTATAAACACTCTCTATAAAAGATCTTTGATTGTAGAAGGTATGATAATAGAAGAGGAATGTAATCTCAGCAGATTAGGTCCATTACCTTCTTTGAAGATACGCTGATCGTCTTTCCATACTGAGCTGATAATACCGCGTAAGACTCTTAAGGAAACGGCTTCCCTAAATCAGATCTTCAGTGTCAGTTCTTCTGTCGTTGCTTCTGCTTGATCAATAAACTGTAGACCCAACCGACAGACTCTAAACCTATCTTAGTATGCCATAATAATATTGCCAATTATAATATGGGGTTTTTGAACATAAAAACACTAACAAACTCCCCCTTTGGCTATTATTTGGCAAAACAACTCAACTATTTTAAAAAGAACTAAGATAGGTTATTAAAGGAAGCAACCCAAGTGTCCAAAAAGATTACATAGACTAAAACGAACATAAGATCCAAAGTAGTCTAAAAACAAAAACAAACAATATCAAAACAGTCACGCCCAGCCAGGGCCAGAAGGTACTCGATAACAAAAAAACTCCCCCTGAGTTTACTACTCCCCCTTTTTGCCAATGGTAGTCAAAGATTAAGCATTTGAGGGAGAGCCACAGTCAGACATCACAGGATCCTCAGCAGCAGCAGCAGTATCAGACAAGCTCATGCGGAGAAGAACAGTAGCTAGCTCAGTGCGCGCACCAGTCAGTTGCTTGGCAATGATGCCGTGCACCGTCTCAAGATCAGCAACTCGCGCCTTCAATTGTGCGGAAAGCTTCTCATCTTTAGCATGAGGAGACTCATCATTCAGAGCATCAGGTTCCGAATTGGATGGGGCAGTCACAGGAACGACATCCTTAATATGATTTCCAGAGAGAAGACGTTTATCAACAGTATACAGCAGCGTCGGACTGATCACTTCGCTGGGCATAGGCTTAAGACCCTGAGAGGTAAGGATGCCAAAATTCAGATTTGGAAACGGTAGTCTTACCTTCTGTTCCCGGGGATGAATCAGAGTTAGAACATGATAAAAAATCCATTTGCCCAGATCACACTGCATCTTAGTTCCAATTCTAAATAGGAACCCTGCCAGAAGCTTGCCAACTGTGTTGAAATGAGCTGATGGAAGCCAGTTGTGCAGAGCCAGGCGATGTAGGATGACATATCTAGACGTGAGATGCGAGCTCAGCAAATAGTCCTTATCTCCTGTAGGCCAGGATGTAGTATGTCCACCGGTAAGAGTTTTGGCCACCACGTCCCATTCAGTAACAACTTCTTCTTGCACTGTAGGCAAGCCATAGTATTTATTTATTACATCTGGCCCAAAATCATACCACTTCCCTCTGATGAAGATTTGCATCGGTCGTGGCCCTGTGAGACTGTCAATCTCATCACTGAGATTGCAATAGAACTCATATGTGAGCAGCTTGGAGTAAGGGCAAACATCTGTAACAGTTTTCAAAAGACCAACTTCATTCAGCAAGGGCAGAATATCACAAACAGAGTTCAGTTGATTCTCATCCACAGTTCTTTGGACAATCAGCTCCCTTCTGACCATAGTGGCCCATTTTGTTTGTGCAGCAGGTGATACAAACTGAGGTTTGTAAATAGTAGAATCAATTCCTTCAATAGGTGGAACCTCCGGAGTTACACTTCGACCTCTTGACCTTGTAGTAGGTTTCCATTTTCTGGCAGAGGGGGCTGGTGCAGAAGTAGCTTGAGCAGCAGTAGTTCCTTGTTGCTTAACAGAGGAACGTAGTGTCTTGAAAACTTGGTGGATAGGTGGGTCTCCTTCAGGCTTAGCAATCTCACTCGACTTTCTCTTTTTCACAGGCTGATCCACATCTACATTATCAGCACTGGTTTCAACAACAACCTTTGTTGGAACATTCTTCCTTTTTGTCCGTCTTGTTTCTCTGGATGGGGACTGAACAGGAGTGACCGAGTGGCTAGACTCAGAAACATTTGCAGATGAGCTCCCAACAATATTTGATATCTCTCGAATTCGGAAATTCGTGGAATCAGGATGAGCAGTTCCCTCAACAGTAGGGGCAGCAGAAGAAGGTGCTTGGGATCCATACACCTTAGCCAGTATCTTATCATCTTCACTGGAGGATTCGGAAGGGTGTATCACTCGATAAGGTTGAGGGATTGAAGCATATGGTAATCCAGCAAAATGTCGCACATGTTCCAGGCTTTCTCCTAAAGATGTTGCAGTGTAAACAGGAACGCCACCTGTTTTTTCAGACTTGTGGGGACTTGATAAATCAACAGGTTTAACAGTTGTAGGTAAAGCAGGAGGATCAACAGCAGGACAAGCCTCTTTAGAGAAATTTACAGTTTCAGACGGAGGCAGAGCAATATTCTCAGAAGCATAAACAACCAGACTTAGTGGATTTGGCTCATCAGAAGACTTTGTTTTCTCATCAGACACACGCAATGCATCAGATTTTTCATCATCAACATTAGTCACAGGCAAAGATAGAAGATTGACATTCACATGGGACTTCTCGGAACCCAAAGCAGATAGATTTTCAGGCAAAACAGACACAGACGATGGAATAGAAGAATCAACAGGTCTATCAGGAGAAATTTCAATAGGAGTTTCAGAATCATTTACCCGTTGTCGAAGAATCTCCTGTCTGTGTGTTGCTTCTCTCTGAGCAGCTTCAAGATACAGAGCTTGGGACTCCCCTCGACGTCGAGCTTCTTTAACAGATTGTAGGGCACGTTGAGCAAAATATTGAAGGAATGCCCCGGCCCGATTTCCATCGAAGGGTTCTGGAATAAACACTGGAGAGACGTCATCACTGGCTTCGGCGACCAATACAAGAAGTTCAGTTACATCATCTGCCGACTATTCATCATAAAATTCCGGATAGTTGGTCATAACAGTCACCAGAATCTCGTCGCGAAGCAGAGGATCAAGCTTGAGCTTCTTCTTCATAGCCAACTGTAGAAGCGTCTGAATGTGTTTGAGGGCTGCCGCCGGAGGATGTACCTTGCTTCCAAGCTTAATAATGATGTTTTTTACGGGGTCTGCCATTTAAGATTAAGTGCGAGGAGAAGAATAGAACACCGATAGCAGTTAAGCACGGGAAGTGGAGAGATGGGAGCTGAGGTGATTTCTTTCTTCTTGACCCGGTATCATATAGTCTTAAGGGTGATAAACCCTAATTAATGCGGCAAGTCAAAATATCATGCAGAAGTGATTGATGGACACAACGGTACAGCTCCTTTTTAGGAAGGAAACGGAACCCAGGGGAATTTGAAATTCAAAAAGCATAGAGATCTTTTCGGATATCTTTTGAGAAGACTAAGCTTAGAAGATCTTCTTAACATAAAAAGAGAAGAGTCTTTAAGGAAATTCAAAGTCATAACACTGACCCGTATTAAACCAACTCCTCTCTGACGGACCTACTGCTTTAGTCAGTCAATTCTGCAAATTCCCAGAGCAGATCTGAGAATTTCAAAACGATTAGCATCCAGAGGCTTAGTCAGAATGTCCGCCAGTTGTTTGTCAGTCTGAATGTATTCCAACTCAACTTCCTTGGATTCAACCAGGTCTCTGATGTAGTGATGCCTGATGTCAATATGCTTCGTTCTGGAATGTTGAACAGGATTCTTGGAGATGTTAATAGCACTGACATTGTCACAAAAAAGTGTCATTGTTCCTTGTGTAAGACCATAATCCAAAAACATCTGTTTCATCCAAACCAACTGAGTACAGCAACCACCTGCGGCTATGTATTCTGCCTCTGCAGTGCTTAGTGAGATAGAGTTCTGTTTCTTACTTAACCAGGATACTAAGTTCTTCCCAACAAAGAAACATCCTCTAGAAGTACTTTTCCGATCATCAACATTCCCTGCCCAATCAGCATCACAATATGCAACCAGATTTAGTTCACTATCCTTGGAATACCAAAGACCATACTGTATCGTTCCTTTCACGTATTTCAGAATGCGTTTTGCTGCTATCAGATGTGATTCCTTTGGGTCAGATTGATACCTTGCACAGATTCCAACACTAAACATTATGTCTGGTCGACTGGCTGTTAGATACAACAGACTGCCTATCAAGCTACGATAGACTGTGTTATCCACTGATATACCAGTTTCATCTTTCGATACTTTTGTAAAAGTGGAGATCGCTGTTCTGGATGGTTTACATGATTCCAGATCAAATTTTTTGACAAGATTCTTAGCATACTTTTCTTGTGAAATAAAGTATCCTTCAGAACTTTGCTTGACTTGTAGACCTAGGAAATACGTCAGTTGACCAACCATGGACATTTCAAACTCTCCCTCCATGACTTGTACTAATTCATCAGTGTATTTCTACAAGGTTGATCCAAACACAATGTCATCAACATAGATTTGAGCGATGGTTACATGACTTCCTGTCGATTTGACAAACAGTGTTTTGTCAACACTTCCGCGTTTATATTCGTACTGGAGCAAATACTGTGTCAGACGTTCATACCAGGCCCGTGGAGCTTGTTTAAGACCATAGAGAGCTTTTCGAAGCTTATAGACATACGAAGGACGTTCTGGATCTTCAAAACCTTTAGGTTGAGCCACATAGATATCTTCATAGAGATACCCATTCAGAAACGCTGTCTTGACATCCATCTGATATAATGTAAATCCCAAAATGCAAGCGACAGCCAGCAAGATTCTAATTGACTCAAGTCTAGCTACAGGAGCAACCCCTTCAATCTGTGTATAACCTTGAGCCACCAACCGAGCTTTGTTTCTGGCTATATTCCCTACTTTATCAGTTTTATTTTTAAAGATCCACTTCGTTCCTATTACGTTAACACCATCAGGTCTTGGTATAAGATTCCAGACATGATTCCACTCAAACTGATGTAGTTCCTCCTGCATTGCATTGATCCACAGATCATCCTGTAGAGCTTCTTTGACATTTTTTGGTTCTATCTTTGAGGTATAGCAGTAAGACCCAGATATTTCTGTCAGATTATTTCTTATTCTGCTTCTGGTTTTCATTCCATCTGACAGATCTCCAATAATGTTATCTGATGGATGGTTTTTCTGAGTTCTGGTAGGTTTGTCTTTACCAACATCATTCATGAGATCTATCTCTTGTTCCGAACTTTCTTGATCTTCATCTGATGAATCTTGTGGTTTGAGCTGACTGTTGTTATAACTTGCATCTAAATCACGTAGAGGTGACTCTATCACTGTTGAGTCCACTGGTTCTTCTGGATTGTCATCGACAACCACATTTACTGACTCTATCACAGACTGAGTCCTCTTGTTGTAGACTCTGTATGCACGACTGTTCGGAGAGTATTCAAGAAAGATGCTTTCATCACTTTTGGGTTCAAACTTCCCTCTTTGTTCTCTGTCAGCCAGCACATAGCACTTTGTCCCAAACACATGAAAGTATTTCAGATTTGGCTTCTTTCCCTTCCAGATCTCATATGGAGTTTTCGTCGTCCCTGGTTTAAGGTAGACCCTATTTATAGTATGACATGCTGTGTGTACTGCTTCAGCCCAGAAACGTTGTGGCATATGTGAGGCATGTAGCATAACTCTAGCCATTTCCTGTAGCGTTCGGTTCTTTCTTTCCACCACTCCATTCTGTTGAGCAGTTCTAGGAGCTGAGAACTCATGTGAGATACCATGCTCAGAGCAGAAGTCTGAATATAGTGAGTTCTCAAATTCCTTTCCATGATCACTCCTCAATCTCTGAACTTTCATAATAGACTCATCTTTTTCCTTCTGAACTCTTATGCACAGAGTCTTGAAGGCCTTGAAGGCTTCTGTCTTTTCTCTCATAAAGTAAACCCAACTGTATCGGGAGAAATCGTCTACACACACAAATATATATTTCTTTCCTCCAATGCTTTCAGTCTGTGTTGGCCCCATGAGATCTATATGGACAAGATCTAGACATTTCTCAGTGGTGATACCTCTTACTGCTTTGTGTGGAGTTCTGATTTGTTTCCCAATAGCACATGCGCCACAAATTTTTTCTGGATCAATTCTGATCTTCGGTACACCTTTTACTGCTTCAAGTTTTATCAACTTATCCATATCTCTGAAATTTATGTGACCCAGTCGTCTATGCCAGAGTTTTGATTTATCAGATTTGGATAGGTGACAAGCAGTTTCATTTGTCAAAACATAACAGTTGTCTGAAGACCGAGTTCCTTCCATGACAAGTTGATTTGCTTTGTCACTCACTCTGCAACAGTTACGATCGAAGCATACATTCCAATTTTGATCACATAACTGACTGATGCTAATAAGATTCGCTTTTAATCCACTGACTAGCAAGACTTCTTCTAACTGAGGTAAACCTGGAACATTTAGGACTCCTTTCCCAACGATTTTACCCTTTTGTCCATCTCCAAAAGTTACAGCTCCACTACTAGGTTGAACAGCCATCAGACATTTAATGTTTCCTGTCATATGTCTGGAACAACCACTGTCGAAATACCATCTAGCATCAGTTGTAGATGCAGTTAGAACAATGGTGGGATAACAGATAACTTCTGACTTTCTGACCCAAACCTGTCTAGTGAATGGTGTAATAGTCTTATTCTGATATTTTTCCTTCCTCTGATCTCTGTAGAAAAAATAGCATTCGGGACGAGTATGACCTTTTGTGTGACAGTAGTGACAAATGGGAGTATAATATTTAACTTTGACAATCTTATTTTTGAATCTCGAATAATGAGATTTATAAGTTGATTTGTCCTGGTCAGTGTTCGTACCGTATCTCCCTTCCTTGATTTGTACTGACTGAGATGACTGTCCTTGTTCATACCTGTGATATGTTGTGGTCTTAGACATTCCCTCTTTGATGAACTTTGGTGCGTTGTTCGAAGATTCTCCTTGCTCAAATCCCAGACCCTTTTTATTATTAGGGTTTCTGCCAGAGTCTAGCTAGAATTTTATCTAAGGTAGATGTGGTGTCCATCATCTGTATATTTTTCTTCAAGCTCTCCAACTCCTTGATCAATTTTCCTTCTCTGGACCGTATCTGAGTGATGAGATCTTCTTTTATGACCAATTCAGCATTCAGTTTCTTTATAAGATCATCTTTTTGCTTTAGATCGTCATTCAGATTCTTATTTACTTTCACAAGTTGTTCCCAGCTAGCGACAAGTTTTGCAAATTCTGCCTCAAGTTGAATATGTCTTTCTTCAAAATCATCTGTTGATATGTATGATTCTCCATCTGATTGATCTCCGTCTGATTGAATGTTTGTGGCAGTGAAGAACGCTACAAAGTTTCATACATTATCATCTGATTGATCATTTGAATTTTCCTCCTCATCATCACTAAGAGTAGCTACAGACATAGCCTTTTTCCTTTTAAGATATGTTGCACATTCAGCCTGTATGTGACCGTATCCTTCACATTCCCTACACTGCACTGACCGATTGAGGGGTTTCCCTGTGTCTGTAGTACTATTTCTGTTTTGTCTCGATCGCCCAGTCTGAGATTGATTGTTCTGTGAGAGGGGTGTTGTTTCAACCTTTTGATATGAAGGGTAGTTGCCTTTGTATTGTGTTCTTGTAGACTGACCTTGACCCTTTCTGTTGAACCCTTTTAAGATTTTCTTGAAGTTTTTGGTTAGGAGAGCTAGGGTTTCATCATCTATGTCGTCTGTGTCAGATTCTCGATCAGCTTCAGCCACAAAAGCTACAGACTTTCCTTTCTTGTTGCTTCCAACATCATCATCAGCAAGAACTTCCAATTCATATGTGTGCAAGCTTCCCATGAGTTCTCCGACAGTCTTCTTTTCCCAACCTGTGTGTTCCTGAATAGCCGTTACTTTCATTCGAAAACGTTTAGGTAGGGATCTGAGAATCTTTTTGACCACTCTCTCATCAGTGAATGGTTCCCCAAGAATTGAGGCTCGGTTCATCAAGTTCTGAACCCTACTGTGGAAGGTAGAAATGGTTTCGTCTTCAGTCATTCTGAGAGCTTCGAATTCTGATAGAACCATTTGCAACTTTGACTGTTTGACATCACTGGTTCCTTCATATCTGGTTTCAAGAATCTCCCATACCCGTTTAGCCTCTTTTACCCCTGTAACAAGCGTAAAAACAGATTCATGTAGCGATCCAACAATTGAGTTTAGTGCTTTGTTGTTCAGATCAGAGGCATTCATTTCATCTTCTGTCCAAGTCTCTATGGGTTTTTCTTCAGCAACTCCTTGTGCATTCGGAGTAGTAGGTCGACTCCACCCAGTTAGGATGGTGCGATAAACCCTGGTTCCTTGTGCTTGAAGATATATCTCCATACGAGCCTTCCAGAAAGAGTAGTTGTGACCATCTAGTTCTGGTGGTTTCATACTTGCGTCCATCCTGAAATCAACAACCAGCCCCACGAACACACAGACAGACTTCCACAAAAACAGAGAGAATGCAAAAATAAGATAGCCCTTCGGACCAAGTCACTATGTAGACTTAAAAGCTCTGATACCACATGTAATTTTGCATTTCCTCATTTTTACGAAAATTATCAGAAATAGTTTGCTGACTTAGAAAACTGATAGATTCAGTTAAGCACCTACTTAGTAATAATAGATCATGGTGCGAACATCAGAGAAAAATAAACAAACACACAGAGCGAACACTCACAATGTTTACCCAGTTCGATACAGTGTGTATCTACGTCTGGGGGACGATCACATAGGCGTCCAATCCACTAAGTCATAATCCAATGTACAAAGGTAGATATACAATAATCTTACCCAAGTGCCCCACACAAGGTACATACCCAGTCTACACAGGTTTAGTGGATTGTTGAAGATGGAGAGCCATGCATACAGAAGTCCAATGAAGTCCCTTCACTTGGAGAGCCAGCTCTGATGCAGTCCACTTTAGTGACGCTCTATAATGTTGTTCCCACAACAGTGTGATCTTAGTGTCCTTTCGTTTAAGTAGCAGTAACTCTTCTCAAGTTCATCATCTTAATCACCATGAACAAATTGTAATGAGAAGGTCCATAACAATCAAAGATCTAGACTCTTAAAGTTGATATGGAGTGTTTCTTTTTCTTATTTGGCGTAACCCCAGTTACCTTTTGGAACTGGTACTTATAGATCCTTCTATAAACACTCTCTATAAAAGATCTTTGATTGTAGAAGGTAGGATAATAGAAGAGGAATGTAATCTCAGCAGATTAGGTCCATTACCTTCTTTGAAGATACGCTGATCGTCTTTCCATACTGAGCTGATAATACCGCGTAAGACTCTTAAGGAAACGGCTTCCCTAAATCAGATCTTCAGTGTCAGTTCTTCTGTCGTTGCTTCTGCTTGATCAATAAACTGTAGACCCAACCGACAGACTCTAAACCTATCTTAGTATGCCATAATAATATTGCCAATTATAATATGGGGTTTTTGAACATAAAAACACTAACATCTCCAATGTAAAAATTCTTTACATTCAAATTCATCAATTGATTATATTCACTACATTGTCTATTATCTTTTTTTGTGCACTATTTTTTAATTAAATATCAAAGTTATAATACAAAATAATGCTATATATATATATATATATATATATATATATATATATATATATATATATATATATATATATATATATATATTTATTTATTTATTTATTTATTTATTTACCAAGTATTTTAGTAATACCATGAAAAAATTTAAAAAAATTAAATTAATAAATCCAATTATATTAACTACTTGAGGGATATGTTGACAAAGAGAGTATTCAAATCACACAACAAATTGAAGTGAGAAACTACCTCGCAATGTCATTGTTTGACAATCAGTAGTTAGTGGTTAGCGTTAGCGGATTATATTAGCGAATTATATCAACGGTTGGTAAAAAGATATTTGAAAAAATTAGATGTTTAAATTAACATTTAAAATGACCTAAGGGTATAATAATAATAATAATAATAATAATAATAATAATAATAATAATAATAATAATAATAATAATAATAATAATAATAATAATAATAATAATTGTTTTTATAATAATTTTTTTAAAATGTAGATGTGTTTTAGGGAAATCATTCTAAAAAAACATTAAGTGAAAATATTGTAAATTGCAATGTTTGTATTTTCAGTGGTTTGGAACAAGTTGTTGCTTCAAACTGTTGAATAACCAAAACACTTTCTTTAGCATTTTGATCTTTAGGTTACATCATATTTACCAATCGTCCAATACCTTTGGGTTACATTATAATTAAAATTTTTAAATTTTTACTACATCTAAATTCCTTAAATTAGGAATTTCTTTATCCATAATAATTTATTCAACAATAATGGTTGAACTAAGTGAACACTGAGCAAAACACCTAAAGGACTTGTACCGTTGATTCATTCATTGATCTTGTATATATGTGCATTCATTAAATATATTACAACCCTTTGCAACAAAAATACTTGGTTTCTATTTAAAAAAAGTTTAGTAACAATTACAATGAATCTCCTATATTACATTGTATTCATATACTACGAATTACATATTTAAATAAACAAATTAGACATTAAATTACTTATGTTGAACTTCTCCTATATAATATTGCATTTATATACTTTCAAATATTTATTTAATTATAAACATTGGTTAGAAAAAATGACCGTCAAATTATTAAATCAAATGAATAGTTCATATTGTTCATATTTTAATTTTTTCTTGAGATTTCATAATTTATCATTAATTATATGATTATCCGATCCGTTAACTTTTTCATTAATTCACCGTTAGTCTAATTCTAATATTAAACTCTAATATAGAATTATAAGTACAACATTAATCTAATTCTAATATTAAAGTCTTAATAGAACTCTAACCACAATTCAAATCCTACTGTCGGAATCTCCTCAAACAATATTAGTATATATTTAATATTTTATGCTTAACCTCTCAAAGTGAGGGGGGCTCCTTGTGCACAGTGAGCACCGGTCTAGCCTCTATGGTTCATGTTCAGTTGAGTCACCATGATTTACATCCTCCCAAATGCTCTGTCGGGCCGGAGTGTGGGGGGCCCTTAGGGTTGGGATTCAACCTTTTGGAAGAATATTTTATGCTTTAATTTTTATTTGCTCTCCCGTATGTCCCGTATTTGGTTTCAACCATACCCATACAATTATTTCATTGACAATTATAATCAATCTTGACTATATTATCTTGCATTTGTAAACTTAGAATTACCAATTTAAATACGCAAATTCAACATTCAATTATCTATGCATGAACAATTCTAATATAATCTTGGCTTGATATACTTTAAAATACTTATTTAAGAAAAATATCGGGCATTATCCCAATCGCGTAATGCGCGTAAAAAACTAGTAGTACAACAAGTTGTATTAAATTATTTTAAATTTTTAAGATCAATAATTTTTAAAATCTTAATATCCCATTCTTTTTAGAATAAAATTAGAGCATCCATAAATAATAGAGTAAATACCCAAAATGGTCCCTCGACTATAGCTAAATTCACAAATTGGTCCTCAACTTTTAATGTTAACCAATTAAGTCCTTAACTTTGTAATTTTAACACAATTTGGTCCTCTGTCTATTTGACCATTTGTTGACTGTGATTTTTGAGGATATATATGTAATTTCATGGTCCATCATCGATTTTTTAAGGTTCTAGTTGCATTTCTAGGCCGCACTGTTACATTTGAATCCACTGCCGAAAGCAATCTACCAAATCCGGTTGCCTTTCTTCATCCTCCCTTTGGATTCAATGTAGTTGAGTTTGTACCAGAGCGAAGAAGATGACGTGTTTCCGAACCAGTGCAACGTCATCCTAGAGGCCTCCACGTGCTCCGACGAGAGTTGAAGGTTCTTCTGGAGATCGTCGATCACGGTCAACAAACGGTCAAATAGATGGAGGACCAAATCGTGTCAAAATTACAAAGTTAAGGACTTAATTGGTTGAAATTGAAAGTTGAGGACCAATTTGTGAATTTAGCTATAGTCGAGGGACCATTTTGGATATTTACTCTAAATAATATAACATTTTTCTTTAGTGCTACTAACTCCGTTACAATGCAGTATATGTGCCTCCACTGAGGCTCGAACCCATAACATCCCATATAGGAAAGCACAACCTCCCATATAGGAAAGCAACTTGGTGCCACTAAACCACAAGGTCCTTGGCATATAACCTGTTAGTACACACGGAGTAATTAATATGAATATATTAATTAAATATAGAGTTAATTCCATTTTTGGTCATAAATTTATAGGTGACAATCCACTTTTAGTCTTTTTTATTAGAACATTCTCATTTGGTCCTAGTATTATTGTGGCATAACCATTTTTAGTCCATCAACAAAATCGTTGAAATATCATTAAATACAAAGACATTTCAATCTTTTTTATACAAAGTAAGTCAAACCGCTATATTTTTTTATGTTTTTTTTTTTTTTTTTTTTGAAAACATCCATAATTGAAGATCAAAATGTCATTGTGTTTAACGATATTTAAACTGTTTTATTGATAAATGACGAAAATTGGTCATGTCACGATAATACTAGGACTAAAAGTGGACTGTCAGCTATAAATGTAGGACATAAATGGAATTAACTCTTAAGTATATGTTTTATTTTGTTGGTATATTTTGGTCCATCGAAAATGTTGGTTCATTGTACTTTGGTCCGAGTGAAACTAGTCAAAAACATCATGGAGCCTATTTTTGAGGAATTGAGAAGTCCAAGAAGAGCTGACAAAAGATGCACAATTCTCTCAACAAAATTGTGGTTGAAATTAAATCAAGTTTATTTCCTCAACTCCACAATGTGTAGCATGCGAAATGTACATGATTCACAAAGCCTAATATTGTGCTGCCCGAACTATAAATATGGGCTTTGTAATGAAGAAAACTTATTGTTGATAAGAAATTTAGACATTTTAATCATAAAATTCATGAAGAAACTTCAAGCAAAAGGACAGATTGGAGTACATTTCAGAGAAGCTGATCCACTTGATACTAGATAGTACAGACTGTGTGAAAATCCAGGTTGATATATAATTTGTGGAATTGTCATATATATTAGCTCAAATTGTATTTTTGAAACTTTCTTACAAAATTGCAGTATAAGGTTGATGTTAAAATGTGATAAACCTAACTTTTGTAAATCATTTGAATCATGTGGATCTTTAGTAGAAAGTTTTAGGTGTGACCTCGCAAAGTATGAGGTGTTCTCAAACTGCAATAAAAAATATCTTGAATTCTGGGTGTGACTTCTCAGAATAACAACTCCTATTATTGGACCCACAATGTTAGATTAGGCAGGACGTCCTACTTGACATCACTATCACAAGAAACTAAAAAAATGAAATTCTAGAATTAGTTAAATAAATTGAACATGTACTAGTTAGCGACTACCAGAAAATTCTTTACTGAATACACCTTGCCTTCTTCAAAAATAAGTCAACTTCTTCCTTTGAGATATTGGCATAGATATATGTTCCCTAAACATTTGTAACTAATATTAGATGAAAGAAAACAGTTTATATCATAAAACAAAGAATTTACCTCCTCATCATGAAATAAATCTTATTTACTTTTCATGAATGTGTCTTCTCTAACTTCTGGTATTTCATATGTTCTAACTAATCTAACTCTTATTGCTCTTTTGGAGTGTGGTGGACTGATATCCTTGATAGATACATATTGAGAAGACATTTTTTTTTTAGTGTGGAGTATTACTCATCCTCAAGAATATCAGGGTGAACTTCTACATCTCATTCGACCTCTTTATATAGAGGTAGAATTGAACCAGGAATGTTATAGAAAAACGAAGAGCCAAGCTTTGGAACAATGACAAAGAATGATTACGTTATTTAAACTTAACATCTTTTCAGAAAGGATGACTTTAATTAGGGATGGCAATGGGTCGGGTGTGGGTCGGGGAGGGCTACATCCATCACCCGACCCACCTTATATTTTCTCCATCCACCCCCAGCTCCAACCCGCATCGGGTGGACTTTTTCAGAACCCACCCCCACCCCCACCGGGTGCTGGTGCCCACTACGGGTACCCACCACTTATCATCTTATTATGTTTTTCAAAAAATAATATTTAAATTATTTACATATAATAAAAAAAATAAAATCCATTAGTGATACTAAAACATAAATAATGGAAATATTTAAATATAATAACTAAATTGTTAATTTTTAAAAATAAACTTAGTAGTTTTGATATAAAAAATAGTAAAAAGCTACACGAATTTATAAACTTTTATAAATAACTACATATTAGTACTTATTTTACTATTATATATATATATATATATATATATATATATATATATATATATATATATACACACACACACATGGTGGGTCGGGTGGGGTTCTAGGCGGGTCTTGTACATAGAACCCGAATCCAACCCGACCCACCGCGGGTTTGCTTTTTTAAGACCCACCCCCGACCCACCACCCACCATCACCCAAAAAAACCCGATCCATGTGGGGTGGGTTCAGGTGGATATCCACGGGTCGGATTGAAATTGCCATCCCTAACTTTAATTAGATGTCAATCAGTTCCAATTTGTAATCAATGAGGAAGTCAATAAGCCTTGATGGTATTCCAGCTATTATCTTATCAAGTGGCGAGTAAATTTCAAAAACTCTTCATATCACAACTTTATGAATTCAAAATATAGATGTCAACAAAATTATTAACTAAAAAATGGCAATGACTGATAAAAACAAATTTGGTTACAAAATAGCTCTTTATCATTCAATTCATTAGGATTCTTCAATGATTCGAAAGTCTTTAGACGAAACATAAAGGTAGGGAATACTTTATATTTACTCTCTTTGACAATTGTTTTGTTGTTGAATTTGATAAGATATTTATATCCAGTTGTTTTATACTTGTAGTAGTTAGTGACTACTAGGAAGTTCTTTAATGAGTACAACTTGCCTTCTTAAAAAATAGATTAACTTATTCCTTTGAGATGTTAGCATGGATATAGGTTCCCTAAACATTTGTAAGTAATATTAGATGAAAGAAAAAAAGTTTATATCATAAAAAAAAAAAAGAATAAATAACTGGAAAACTGATTTTACTATCATAAAGCAAATGAAACTAAACTGGAAAACTAATTTACCTCCTCATCGTGAAATAAACATTCTTTACTTTTCATGATTCTGCATCCTCTAACTTCTGGTACTTCACATGTTTTAACTTCCAATTAATCTAACCATTATTGCTCTTTTGGTGTGCAGTGGACTGATATCATTGACAGATACATATTGAGAAGGCATTTTTTTGTGTGTAGAGTATTACTTATCCTCAAGAATCTTAAGGTGAACTTTTGGATCTCATTCGACCTCTTTATATAGAGGTAGAATTGAATTAGAACTGTTATTGAAAAACAAAGAGGCAAGCTCTGGAACAATGATGAAGAATGATTACGTTATTTAAACATAACATCCTTTCAGAAAGGATGCCTTCAATTGGATGTCAATTAGTTCAAATTTGTAAGCAATAAGGAAGTGAATAAGCCTTGATGGTTTTCCAGCTAGTATCTTATCAAGTGGTGAGTAAATTTCGACAACTCTTCCTATCACATCTTTATGAATACAAAATATAGATGTCAACAAATTTATAAACTAAAAAATGACAACGGCTGATAAAAACAAATTTGGTTACCAAATAGCTCTTTATCATTCAATTCATCAGGATTCCAGAATGATTCGAAAGTCTTTAGACGAAACATAAATGTAGGGAATACTTTATATTTACTCTCTTTGACAACTGTTTTGTAGCTGAACTTCATAAAATATTTATGTTCAGTTGATTTATAAATGTAGTAGTTAGTGACCACTAGTAACTTTTTTACTAAATACACCTTGCATTCTTCAAAAATAGGTCACCTTCTTCCTTTGAGATATTTGCATTGATATATGTTCCCTATACATTTGTAACTAATATTAGATGAAAGAAAACTGTTTATATCATAAAACAAAGAATACAAAACTAGAAAACTTATTTTACTATCATAAAACAAATAAAACTAAACTGGAATACTAATTTTACCTCCTCATCGTAAAATAAACATTCTTTAGTGTACTTTTCATGATTTCGCCTCCTCTAACTTCTAGTACTTCATTTGTTCTAATTAATCTAACCCTTATTCCTCTTTTGGTGTGCGGTGGATTGATATCCTTGATAGATACATATTGAAAAGGCATTTTTTTGTGTGTGGAGTATTACTTATCCTGAATAATCTCAGGGTGAACTTATGCATCTCATTCAACCTCTTTATATAGAGGTAGAATTGAATCATGACTCTTAATGAAAAACGAAGAGGCGAACTTTAGAACAATGACAAAGAATGATTATGTTATTTAAACTTAACATCTTTTAGAAAGGATGTCTTCAATTAGATGTCAATCAGTTCAAATTTGTAATTAAAAAATGCAACGATTCATTTTCCTAGATTTATTCCAATAATGTGCTTCTCCAATGTTTAATCATCGGGAGTTTCAAAGGTATTCATTCAGCCGACTAATACATTATTAATTTAGGCTAAACCTGATCAGTAGCGGTAAACCAATGTGAACATAATAAATAATCGAAACTACCAAGCATCTACCTAAAACGACACAGTTTTATTTGGGCAGAAAAATACAAATCATGAAGTTGTAACTAAGCCTTGATAGTTTTCCAGCTATTATCTTATCAAGTGGCGAGTAAATTTCAACAACTCTTCCTATCACGTCTTTGTGAATACAAGATATAGATGCCAACAAATTTATCAACTAAAAAATGTCAATGACCGATTAAAAAACAATTTGGTTACCAAATAGCTCTTTATCATTCAATTCATCAGGATCCCGCAAAGATTCAAAAGTCTTTAGACGAAACATAAAGGTAGCGAATACTTTATATTTACTCTCTTTGACAATTGTTTTGTAGTTGAACTTGATAAGATATTTATGTCCAGTTGTTTTATACATGTAGTAGTTAGTGGCCACCAGGAAATTCTTTACTGAGTACCTTGCCTTCTACAAATATAGGTCAACTTCTTCCTTTGATATATTAATATTGATATAGGTTCCTAAAACATTTGTAACTAATATTAGATGAAAGAAAACAGTTTATATCAAAAAACAAAGAATACAAAACAGTTTATATCAAAAAACAAAAAGAATACAAAACTGGACAAATGATTTTACTATATAAAACAAATGAAACTAAACTGGAAAACTAATTTTACTATATAAAACAAATAAAACTAAACTGGAAAACTAATTTTACATCCTCACAGTGAAATAAACATTTTTTTTTTACTTTTCATGAATTCGCCTCCTCTAACTTCTGGTATTTCATATGTTCTAACTAATCTAACCCTTATTGTTCTTTTGGTGTGCAGTGGACTAATATCCTTGACATATACATATTGAGAAGGTATTCTTTGGTGTGGAGTATTACTTATCCTGAATAAAATCTCTGGGTGAACTTCTGCATCTTATTCGACCTCTTTATATAGAGGTAGAATTGAATCAGGACTGTTATAGAAAAACAAAGAGGCAAGCTTTGGAACAATCACAAAGAATGATTACTTTATTTAAGCTTAACATCCTTTCAGAAAGGATATATAAAGTATTCCCTACCTTTATGTTTCGTTTAAAGACTTTTGAATCTTTGAGGAATCCTAATGAATTGAATGATAAACAGCTATTTGTAGAACTTAGTCACCACCAGGAAGTTCTTTACTGAGTACACCTTGCCTTCTTAAAAAATATGTCAACTTCTTCCTTTGAGATATTGGCATGGATATAGGTTCTCTAAACATTTGTAACTAATATTAGATTAAAGAAAATAATTTATATCATAAAATAGAGAATACAAAACTGGAAAACTAATTTTACTATCATAAAACAAATAAAACAAAACTGGAAAATTGATTATACCTCCTCATCGTGAAATAAACATTTTTTACTTTTCATGATTCCGTCTCCTCTAACTTCTCATACTTCATATGTTCTAACTTCTAATTAATCTAACCCTTATTGATGTTTTGTTATGCAGTGGACTGATATCCTTGACAGATACATATTGAGAATACATTTTTTTTGTGAAGAGTATTACTTATCCTCAAGAATCTCAAAGTGAACTTCTGCATCTTATTCAACCTCTTTATATAGAGGTAAAATTGAATCAGGACTGTTATAGAAAAACGAAGAGGCAAGCTTTTGGAACAATGACAAAGAATGATTACATTATTTAAACTTAACATTCTTTCACAAATGATGTCTTCAATTAGATGTCAATCAGTTCAAATTTGTAAGCAATGAAGAAGTCAATATGCCTTGATGGTTTTCCAACTATTATCTTATCAAGTAGCGAGTAAATTTCGACAACTCTTCCTATCATATCTTTGTGAATATAAAATAAGATGTTAACAAATTTATCATCTAAAAAATGACAATGACTGATAGAAAACAATTTGGCTACCAACTAGCTCTTTATCATTCAATTCATCAGGATTCCTCAAGGATTGAAAAGTCTTTAGACGAAACTTAAAGGTAGGAATACTTTATATTTACTCTTTTTGACAACTGTTTTTTAGTTGAACTTGATAAGATATTTGTGTCAAGTGTTTTATATTTATAGTAGTTAGTGATCACCAGGAAGTTCTTTACTGAGTACACATTCCCTTTTTCAAAAATTGGTCTAACTTCTTCCTTTGTGATATTGGCATGGATATAGGTTTCCTAAACATTTGTATCTAATATTAGATGAAAGAAAACAGTTTATATCATAAATCAAATAATACAAAACTGGAAAACTGATTTTACTATCATAAAACAAATAAAACAAAACTGGAAAATTGATTTTATCTCCTCATCGTGAAATAAACATTTTTTACTTTTCATGATTCCGTTTCCTCTAACTTTTGGTACTTCATATGTTCTAACTTCTAATTAATCTAACCCTTATTGTTGTTTTGTTATGCAGTGGACTGATATCCTTGACAGATACATATTGAGAATACATTTTTCTTTTGTTGTGAAGAGTATTACTTATCCTCAAGAATCTCAGGGTGAACTTCTGCATCTCATTTGACCTCTTTATATAGAGGTAGATTTGAATCAGGACTGTTATAGAAAAACGAAGAGGCCGTTAATCATGTGGCTTGAGTTAGTCTTCAATTAGTTTGTTATTATCTTTTCTTTAGGCTTCAGTTGTGCTTTGTTGTAACTTCCTCTGTATAACCCTATTTAAACATTCTCTATAACTCTTGGTTAATGCAAGTGATTCTACTTTCACATGGTATCAAGAGCCAGCAACAACTCTTGATTTTTTTTTCTTTCTCATCCTTCCCTGCCTTACACAATGTCCACACAACTGAAATACCAATAATTGAAATTCCTATAATTCAAATTACTGCTCCTACAAATTTCCCCATTAAACTTACTTCCCCCAACTTCTCAGTTTGGAGATGTAAAATCTAAACCACTTTAATTGGCTTTAATCTACTAGGCTACGTTGATGGGAGTACTGTAGCCCCGTCCCAGTTTTCCGATGCCACGAAAATTGTCTCGAATCCTAGCTATACAAATTGGTACTGCCAGGACCAGATTATTGTCAGTGTTCTCCTTAGAAGCTGTTCTGACCCCATTCAACCGCTCATCTCTTCTGCTGAAACCTCCCGTCAAGCTTGGGAGTCGTTAATGGCGAGTTTTGCAAACACCTCACGTAGAAGAATTGTGTCACTCAAGTCCAAGTTAGCCTGCAATCCGCGAGGTAGCCGGTCTGTTATTGATTACCTTAACGACATGAAGGCCATTGCTGATGATCTTGCTATCGCACAATGCCTGGTGTTGGACGAAGATCTCACAGTGCACATTCTTACTCAGATTGGTGAAAAATACAACTCTGTTGTGTCAGCGGTACGTGTCCGAGAGTCCCCGCTGTCCCTCTTTGAGCTCAGTGAGATACTCACGGATCACGAGCGCATGTTAAAGGAAACAGATGAGTCCCGACAAAATATCATTGCCACGATGAATGTTACTCAGCGGTCCACCAACAACGACCGGTCAACTCAAGGTAATTCTAATATGAATCATCGCAATCGTGGTCAAATTCGCCATCCTTTTGCCTATAAAAGGGCATGTGGCCTTTCAAGTTAAGCGTCTTTTCTCCCCTTACTCTCTCCCTCTCTCTCTTTATGCTCTCTATTCTCTCTAAGACACCACTAGAGTTATTATCAATAAAAGGAGATTTGAGCTACATTCTATTGTCCACACACATACATACTGTACATACATTCTACGAGTACAATCGGAAATTAGTACTATTAACAGTCACATGTGCTTGCAGAGAATTTGTCTTCAACAGGTCAGCGTTCCCTGTTGGCGATACCAGCCCAGTCGCCGGTGGCAGCCCTTCCGTCGCTAGTGTCCTCTCCTCCGTCGGCAGTGGACTCTCCCTTCCAGCCTCAGCCACAAGTTCCAGCTCCTACAAACATTTGTAGCCCTACTGTCTTTACTCATCCTTAGCCGGCATCGCTTCCTTCGCCACTGCCGTCACCTCCTCGGACTTCATTCCCTCTACCGGCGTCGTTTCCCGCGCCACTACCGTCACCTCCTCGGCCAACATCCCCTCAATCGGCGTCGTCTTCTTCGTCACAGTCGTCTCTCCCTTCTGTGTCGTCTCAGCCATCCACGCTGCAACATCTGCCAGAGTTGCCACCTTCTCCTTCAGCGACGTTGGTTTCTTCGTTGGATCCTTCTCCAGCACCGTTGCCCACCTCGCCGGAAGTTTGTCCTCGTCATTCCATTCGGATTCGCAAGCCTAATCCTAAATATTTTGGTTCTTTGTTTGTTAATACAGTTTCAGTACACCCATTACCTACTTGTCTTAAGCCTAACACTGTTACCCAAGCGTTGAGAGAACCTTTGTGGTGTAAAGCGATGGACAAGGAATACGAGGCTTTTCTGCGAAATGGCACTTGGGATTTGGTGCCACGATAATCCAAACCGGTGGTTGGGTGCAAATGGGTGTTCCGAGCTAAACGTAAGCCAGATGGTTCGGTTTACAGGTATAAGGCGCGGCTTGTAACGAAGGGGTATTTACAGCAGGCTGGCCGTGATTTTTTTGAAACGTATAGCCCTGTAATGAAGCCTGTCACTATACGTGCGGTTGTTTCTATTGCTTTGCGTTATGATTGGCCAATCTAACAATTAGATATTAACAATGCTCTTTTGAATGGAACATTGACTGAAACTGTTTTTATAGAACAACCGCCGGGTTATATTAATGTGAATTTTCCGTCTCATGTTTGTCGACTTAAAAAGGCGTTGTATGGCCTTAAACAAGCACCACGAGCAAGGTACCTAGAACTTAGTCCTTTTTTTTTATTGCATTATGGTTTTCTCAAGTCACAGGCAGATGTCTCTTTATTTGTTTACTCTATTAATAATGTTCTTATGTATTTTCTAGTGTACGTGGATGATATCCTACTGTATTTTCTAGTGTACGTGGATGATATCCTACTTACTAGTAATAATGCTGTGTGTATTGAGCAGTGTGTGCGAGCGTTGTATGATGTTTTTGCGTTGAAAGATTTGGGGCTCTTACATCATTTTTAGGTGTGGATGTCATTTCAATTGCATCTGGTGTGTTTTTGTCTCAGTCACAATACATTTATGATATATTGATCAAGTTTCATATGGATGGAGCAAAGCCAGTTTCTACGCCTATGAGTTCTTCGGAGGTTCTGCCCCTCCCGGATGTTTCTGCAGTTGTTGATCCTACCAATTTTTGCAAGCTTATTGGTATGTTGCAGTATTTGAGCATTACTCGCCCAGATGTTTCGTTTGCTGTTAACCGTTTGTCACAGTTTATGCATGCACCGTCTGCGACCCATTGGTCTGCTGCAAAGCGTGTTCTACACTACTTAAAGGGGACATTATCCCACGGGTTACTTCTCAAAGGTACTGCTTCTTTTCGTCTCACTGCCTTTTCTTATTCTGATTGGGGTGGTTCTAGTACATTGGGTCGTTCTACCACTGCGTATGTTTTATACCTTGGTGGTAACATTGTTTCTTGGAAGTCAACCTGTCAAAAGTCAGTCTCTCGGTCTTCTACTGAGGCGGAGTACCGTGCCCTTGTGAATGCTACTGCTGAGGTACTATGGGTTCAACATCTTTTACGGGAGCTACGAGTGTCTTTGTGTGGCCCTCCTTTGTTACTATGTGATAATCTCAGCGCTACGTATGTCTGCAAAAATCCTGTGTTCCATTCTAGAATGAAGCACCTTGGCCTTGACTATTTTTTTGTTCGTGAGCCGACATCTTCCCTCTAAAGAACAGCTCGCTGATATCCTCACGATGCCGTTGTGACGAGCATTGTTTCTGCTCTTTTCAGTCCAAGATTGGAGTCTCCGACGGATCCTCCATCTTGCGGGGGCATATTAAATATATGGCTTGAGTTAGTCTTCAATTAGTTTGTTATTCTCTTTTCTTTAGGCTTCAGTTGTGCTTTGTTATAGCTTCTTCCGTATAGCCCTATTTAAACATTCTCTGTAACTCTTGGTTAATGCAAGTGATTCTACTTTCGCAGAGGCAAGCTTTGGAATAATGGCAAAAAATGATTACGTTATTTAAACTTAACATCCTTTCAGAAAGGATGTCTTCAATTAAATGTCAGTCAGTTCAAATTGTAATTAAAAAATGCAACGATTCGTTTTCCCAAATTTTTTCAAATAATGTGCTTCTTTAATGTTTATTAATTGGGAGTTTCAACAATTTTTTTTACATTTGAGTTTTTTTTTTTTTTTTTTTGAAAAATAATTTTCTTTTCCTAATTGCGCACAATTCCAAAAGCTGAAGGCAATTCCTAGTTTAGTATCCCACACGAAAAAACGATTCCCAGTTCACCATTTCTATTATCTTTTCTCACCCTGAAGGCCTGAAAGTCTGAAGTCTGACCGCTGCGCCGGTTGCGGTCTCCCTACCGTCTCTCTCTCACTCTCGCCGCTGCCCGCAGATCGCAGAGGTTTGTTTTTTTTTTTTTTTTTTTTTTCAATTTTTAAATTGACTAAAAAGTTAACAGCCGCCCGGCAAAATTTCCCAACTTTGCGATTGTTAGGAGGAAGAAGGAGAAGAAAGGAATCTCGGAAACATGGCACCTGCTCGGGAATTGGAGGATGAGATTAAGGACGAGAAGAACCCTAGGCCGCTCGATGAGGACGATATTGCTCTCCTTAAGACATATGTATTGTTCTTTTAAACCCTAATTATTTGATCTGCTGGAAATAAAGGGGGAATTGGAGCTTTAAGTTATCTTTCTGGACATAAACATATCAATCTAGTGCATTGATGCATGCCTCTTGGCTACAGTTGCTTAGGTTGTCTGGTACTTCAGAAATATAAAAGTAGAATTGATCCTGTTGAATCATGTTCTATTGTGTATGTCCATTCAACAATAGGTGAACTAAGGTTAACCCATTAGTGTATTCAATTAGTCCAATCTTTATTATTTAGATACTGAATAAGCATGTACTTGAGGTATTGCTTCGATAATTCAAAATCAGGGAGATTTTTATCAATGAATCAATATTCAAAATATTCCATTGGGGGATCTCTAACTCTATAAAAATGCTGTATTTCTAAATTTGGTGTACTAGAGTAGTATTCTCCCTGAGTAATTTTGTGTTAATATCTTTTTGTTTCATTAAATTGCTTTTGTAACTTAGTAACTAGCTTTGATATTTAAATGATTTCTGCAGGGCCTGGGACCTTATTCAACAAGCATAAAGAAAGCTGAAAAGGAAATCAAGGACATGGCTAAAAAGATTAATGATTTATGTGGTATGTTTCTGGTCTTAGTCTAAATATTTTTTTTCCTATACAATGTGTGTTTCATGGTTCCTGGACATACAATATTACAAGATATGAATAGCTTTTAGTTGCTTGTTGAATTGGATCATTGCTTTGGGTTGAGAAGTGAACTTATAGCAGTGATTTCCTTTTGTTTTTCTGGGGTTTTTTATTATATAAGTATGAAAATAATTTTTATGTTGCTCTAGGTATAAAGGAATCTGACACGGGCTTAGCTGCACCAAGCCAATGGGATTTGGTTTCTGATAAGCAAATGATGCAGGAGGAGCAACCCCTTCAGGTTTGTCTATGGGCAAGATTTGAACATGATTCTTTTATCACTCACATACTTTATGTGTTTAAGCTATAATTTGGTGCTTGTGGACAGGTGGCAAGATGTACAAAAATAATCAGTCCTAATACTGAAGATGCAAAATATGTGATAAATGTCAAGCAAATAGCAAAGGTATGACGGCTTTCCTTTTATTAATCACTGTATGTATGCACTATCCAATATATGGGGACAAATTGTATATGCTAGTGAGTTACCAGAGAAAAAAGTCTCAACTGGTTGACTGATATTACACCCTTTTTATTCCTGCAGTTTGTTGTTGGATTGGGTGACAAAGTTTCACCAACTGATATTGAAGAGGGCATGCGAGTTGGGTATGTTCTCTTTCCCCCTCCTATATGCTATGCTAAAGCTCTGGGCGATTGATGTCTCACTGTCTGTATTCTGTATGCAGTGCAGACATTAAATGAATGTTTCTAAGTTATTACTTGGATTGAACTGTGAGATAGGGAAGCTATTTATTCTAGGTGTAAGAGATCTAGCCTGCTACTTTTTGGTGATTTTAATTTATTTTGGTATATTTGCAGCGTTGATCGGAATAAATATCAAATCCAGATTCCTTTGCCTCCCAAAATTGATCCAAGTGTCACCATGATGACAGTTGAGGAAAAGCCTGATGTGACCTACAATGATGTTGGAGGATGCAAGGAACAAATTGAAAAGATGCGAGAGGTATTCTTGTAAATTTGTAATTAATCTCTTATTTATGCCACTTTCTGTATTTTGACACTTTTGATATATGTCACTCGAAATATATATTCTTTTATTTTCATCTTCTCTTATTCATTTATATATATTTCCCACTATGAGCTTGGAGAAGTGATTTTTTGTATTGGTATTTTGGATGCTAACATTAGGTGGTTGAACTGCCAATGCTCCACCCTGAAAAGTTTGTGAAGCTCGGAATTGACCCACCTAAGGGTGTTCTTTGCTATGGTCCTCCCGGAACAGGGAAAACACTACTGGCTAGGGCAGTGGCTAATAGAACAGATGCTTGTTTTATCCGTGTCATTGGTAGTGAACTAGTCCAGAAATATGTTGGTGAAGGAGCTCGGATGGTTCGCGAACTCTTTCAGGTTAAAAACAATTATTGTTATGTAACTGAACGAAGTTATTTTTTCTGCATTGCTTGGTTTCTGAATAGTTCTGTTGTTTTTGTTTTTGGTGTCACAGATGGCACGCTCTAAAAAGGCTTGCATTGTGTTCTTTGACGAAGTAGATGCTATTGGGGGAGCACGATTTGATGACGGTGTAGGGGGAGACAATGAAGTTCAACGAACTATGCTTGAAATTGTGAACCAGCTTGATGGCTTTGATGCACGTGGGAATATTAAAGTACTCATGGCAACAAATAGGTATGCCTGCCTTCAACTTTTGGACAACTTCTAGTTCTCATATATAGTTCTCCCCATAACCTAACTACAATTTTTTTAACAAGCTCGTGACATCATTTTATTATTTCTTTCAGACCTGACACCCTTGATCCAGCACTGCTGCGTCCTGGACGATTGGATCGCAAAGTTGAGTTTGGCTTGCCCGATCTGGAAAGCAGGACACAGATTTTCAAGATTCACACGAGGACAATGAACTGTGAAAGAGACATCCGTTTTGAACTTTTAGCTCGTCTTTGTCCTAACTCTACTGGTAAGGTTTCCCATGTTATAATTGCTTTATGTGTCCATGAAACAAGACTACTAGTAGTCTGTGTTAAAGATGAGACAAGTAAATCTGCTTTCATTATCAGATAGAATTGTTTACCAGAAACAGCAAGGAAGCAGTACCATGATTCTTGACTTACTGTATGAACATTTGACTATTCTGGGCATACTTTAAATAACTTTGTTGGATCTCCTTTTTGATTCAGGAGCTGACATAAGAAGTGTTTGCACTGAGGCTGGGATGTACGCCATTCGAGCACGAAGGAAGACCGTTACAGAGAAGGACTTTCTAGACGCCGTCAACAAAGTCATCAAAGGGTACCAGAAATTCAGTGCCACTCCAAAATACATGGTCTACAATTGATTCTTCCTACTGGTTTTTGTCACTTCACATAAAAGAAAAATGAAGGGTTCTGGTTCCAACTTGAAACTTATTAGTTGCATAGCTGTCCTCAGTCTTGTATCAGATCCCTTTAGTCTTGTATCAGATCCCTTTTATAAGAACTTGCAGCTACCTCTGAGTCTTATTTTTTTATGCAGTGTTTTTTTTTTTTTAATTATTCAGAAGCTACATGTGTGAAGTCTCAACATTTCTTTTCTTTTCTTGAATTTATTGAATCTTCATTTTTAGTCATATGCTTATCAAGTTTACTTTTTAAAGTGAAATATTTCTGAATGTGTGTTGGATAATTATGGTTTAAAATACATTTAGCTCATCAAAATCTATATTATGATCATTCCTAACAGAAAGTTGTATTTAATTTAATAAATATAATTTAGGGAAAATTATAATTTATGCCTCTCACAAATATGTCAATTATCAATGTCAATCATGAATTATTAGTGATGTAAATATTGTCATTAAAATTTCAAAATGTGACATATATTGTATTTCTCCCTAATAGAAAGGAGAAACATCGTTGTCGGCGGGAGGAGAACAAACGAAGAAAGAAAATTCACTAATAATTCATAGGGAGGGCAATATATGTCACGTTTTAAAAATTAAAGGGCAATATCTACTCCATTAATAATTTAGGAATGACATTGATAATTGACATATTTGTGTGTCATAAATTACAACTTTCCTTACAATTTAAAATTTTTTCATTTATTTATCACAAATAGGAAAGAAATACATATGATTTTAATTTTGCTACAAAGCCCAAATAAATTTAAAGATTGTGATTGGAAGAGAAATCGATCAAGCATCCACCTCATCCTCCACATCTCATCAGTTGAGGTTATTTCTCAATTATTTGTGGATCCCAGCATCCACCTCATTCTCCACATCTCATTCAATCACAAAAAATCCTTCTCCACATCAGTTTTGAGTTATTTTTCAGTTTTTTATGGACCCACCATTTAACCCACTATATTTTAATTATTTCTGTTACCTACTGGGCCCACAAATATACCATACTTTGCAGGTGAAATATTTTTGAAATAACTCCTCCCCACATTAGCTATTAACTTTGGGTGGAGAGAATTCATGTAGAAATAACTCCTAAATAACTACTAGTTTGGATGCTAATAACATCCTTCTATATATTAAAGCCATATAGCCATGGCCAATCAAATGGCTGTATTTTCCCGCCCATATAAAACTACAGCGTTTTGACTATTAGTTTGATCCATTTTACGTTTTTTTTTTTTCTGTTTTCTCTTTTTGCATGCTATTTTGGTTTTTGTTTTCTCCGATAAAACTTTGTGTATAACAATATATATCAATTGTTAGTATTCTACATAAGGTAGAATACTTAAATATCTACAATTCCCTCATCGGAAGTTGATCCAAATCAGAACTTTTTATCAGCAGGTGTTAATAGAAG